GTCTGGGCACCTCAGTTTTAGGGGATGTTTCAGGGAGCTCTGTTGGGTTTTGTGAAGGTGGCCAGTGTGGCCTGTGGTATTACTTGCACTGTGGCCCAAGACCCACTTGGGATGGGGAGAAAAGGGATGGTATCCGAGAGTTTGAGCCACGTGGTAAATTTGTTTTACGTCCACATTCCTATGGGAATAGTGAGCAAACGTGAATCAAACTGTCCAAAGCTGTTTTCCACATTGTGCTGCGAGCTGGGCTGCCCGATGGGTCTGCTTTCTCTTCGTGGCTTTAAACACCGTGTCCTGTGGCCAGGAGCAGCTTCCACTCGGGCTCCCTTGCCACAGAACTCATTGGAGCACTTCTGTGACATGCCCTCTTTGACCGATTTGTGAACTTCACATCTGTGAACTTAGAATGTCACTATGGCAATTCCTCTGATGCTATGAGTCAGGATAAGCAATAGAGTGATGTGTGTGGTGTGAGTGTGTGTGTGTGTGGTGTGGAGGAGAGGGGAGAGAGTAGAGGAGAGGAGAGAGGAGGGTGTGGAGGGAAACGGTTCTGTGTAAGAAACAGTACGATAATGGTTTCAGTTTTGTTTTTTTCAAATTTGTTTACCTTTTTCACACCACTTATTGACAGCAATGAATTACCTTGATGGCGGTGGGTGTGGTATTTCAGGGTTTAGTGAAAGCAGTTAGTTTTCTGAGTTTTAATGCATCTAGGTTCTCTGAGTGCTTATGCGATGCAGCAGGTTATCTGGAGTCGTTCCCATTGTCCAGATACATTGAGTTACGTGGAATCCTAAAATTCCCCCGGGGGGTACTGAAAGACCTTAGGTGTATTTCCCAGAGCTTTGCAGGCAAGCGATGGCCAGATAGTTCTGGTGCTGGTGTCAGTAGCTTGCTGGGACTGTTAGTTCCTCAGGTGGTGAATGGGGTTACTTTGCTTTGTGACTGGGGCTTCCAAGTATGACCCTGCCCCTGTCACTGGAGGAGGCTGTGTGTCCTGAGCCTCTATTGAAGGCCCTTTTGACTCTTGTTAATTCTTTCCTGCAGAGGAGTTTTATGTGTATTCCGTTTCATCTCACACATCAGTTATGAAACCATGGATCGTGTCAGGTAGCATCTTCCTAGGTCTTGGATTAGGGCGTGGGCGTCTGGGGCAGGGGGTGGAGGCGCACATTCAGCCAGTTGCAGAGACGTGAGAGAGAAATGAGTGTGGGTCTGAGATTGGAGCCTGGACCTGAATATCCATGGTGAGCTCTAAATGGATCCTGTATCAGTTTATCCTGCTATACCAGCATTAACCTCTTAGTTCTGATAACATCTCTGTAAGTCTAAAATGACTGCAAAATAAGATGTTAGACAAGCGGGGGAAAGACATGGTAGGATGGAGATTTAATAAAATTGTTACAGCTTCATCAAGTGCATTCTTAGGAGAAACTGGCTTTTGTTAATTTTTTTTAGTTTTTATGTTTTTGAATGCAGGCACATGGAGACGAAGGTGCGCTGGCTCCTGCGGTGACCTCACCCTCTGCAGTTTGTGCACCGTCAGTGCAACTGGAGGAAAAGGCAAATGGAGTCTTAGTGTTCTTAGGAAAGTGGTGTTGTCTTGCCGGCCCCCGTAAAAGGTGCCCGGGACCCCCAGGGCTTGGTGGCCTGCACTTGGAGAACTGCTGAGATAGCTTAGGGGTCGGTGGTGGTGGGGTCCGCTGCTGAGCTTCTGACTCAGAAGCCCTGTAGGATGGAGTCGAACTGCCTCTGGGTTTTCTTGGGTGTAATCTTTACAGGAGCATATCGCCAGGTGCTTTCTCCAGAAGAGCTGCTGGGTAGGTTTGAACTTCCAGCCTTGGGTTAGCAGCTGAGTGCTCAGCTGTTGTGCTGCCAGGGCTCCTTTGGCTTAGGGGTTGTTGTTGTTGTTGTTACGTGTCGCCAAGTCGGACCTGACTCATAGCAAACCCTCCTCAGGTTTCCGAGGCAGTATCACTACGGTAGTAGATTGCCCAACCTTCCTTCTGAGGAGTGGCTGGTGGGTTTGACCTGCCAGCCTTCTGGTGAGCAGTCAAGTGCCTTAGGCACTGCGCTTCCAGAGCTCCTGGCTTAGGGGTCAGGGGTAGTTAAAGGGAATGGCATTCACCCGTTGGCAGCCAGGCTGAGGGAGGTCTTCCTCAGTGCCCGTGTTCACGCCTGTGACCTGTCCCGCAGCTGGCCCTGTGCACTGGGGGGACTGGAGCACTGGCAGGCAGTCTGTCCCGGACTTGGACTCAGCACAGACCTTCACACATAGTGGTTTTCAGGTGAGTGTTAACGAACACTCAGAGAGGAGAGAAATGGAAAGGTGCTGAGGAGAAGACAGGATGCAAAACCTGAGGTGCAGTATTAACATTTGGAAGGTTTCTGAGGTTGAACCCCGTTTCCAGCTGTTGCTGTTGTTTGATGCATGCACAGTCACCTCTTTTCTGGTTCAGGAAAGGTGGGAATGGGTTTCGTTCCACAGAGAGGAAGAAGCTTCACCCTAGTTGGTAATTCAGCCGTTTGCCCACCCCTACTGGCAAGTCTCCCTAGAAGTGCTGACAGGTGCTGAGGTGCTTGCAGGGCCACACTCCGTGCCTTCCATGCCTGAGCCGAGATCCACAAACCGGGAGCAGGTGGAGGACAGCAGAGGCCACGTCACCCAGAGGGACTCTGACCCGAAGAAAGCAAGTGTTGTGTCTCCTAAACTTGTGCTTTCTCTCTCTCCAGCGAAGAAGTCTGCAAGCGAGGCTTCACGGTGATCGTGGACATGCGCGGGTCCAAGTGGGACTCCATCAAGCCTCTTCTGAAGATCCTGCAGGAGTCCTTCCCCTGCTGCATCCGCGTGGCACTGATAATCAAGCCGGACAACTTCTGGCAGAAACAGAGGACTAATTTCGGCAGTTCTAAATTTGAATTTGAGGTAACTTTCCCCCAACTCAAACTATAGGTGAGGCTTACTGAACGCTGACTTTCTCTCGTCATTCTAGGTAGTAGGTTTTAGAACCACACATTAAATGGGAACTGCATGTTTTAGGTAATTGTTAGCTGCCATTGAGTGGGTGAGGACTCATGGTGACCCCATGTGTGCAGAGCAGAACTGTGCTTGATAGACTTATGTACACGTGATATGTAAGGTTGACCATTGTGTGAAATAACAAAGTCATGTCAGCCATTATGAAACCCAAGGGGGGTTGGGTTTCACATGTCTTGGCTTTGCTGCTGAGGAGTGAGGCATTCATTCCCTTAGAGACAGAAGTCTGTTGCCTTTTACTTCTCTTTATACACAGCTTTAGCATTCGGCACTGCCAAAGGGGCAGGGAGGCTGTATCTTCTGACCTCCTCTAATCCCACAAGAGGAAGACAGAATCACCGTCAGTAGCCCAAGGCCAATTCCTTTGAGGCCAGGCATGCCTCCTCCCTCCAGCCCTTTCACCGACCCTGACACCGACCGTTCTCCTGCAGCACCCACCACCTCTCAGCTGGTTTGATAACTCACTGCAGTGGCCACACAGAACTCACAGATGATGAGGTTTATCAGGGAAGCAATAGGCTACATTTCAAGTTCAGGAACACGCTCAGTCTCTCTCAGCCCGCCATCTCTCAGCCGATAGTCTCTCTCAGTCTCTCTCCCAGCAATGTGTGTCTTTTGGTGTGTCTCAGTGTTTCTCTTAGCAGTGTTTGTCTCTCACATCTCTCTCAGCAACGCATGTTTCTCACGTCCCTCAGCCGGCAGTGAGAGATTCTTTTGGCCTCTAGGAGGGCTCCTTTTGAGCCTGGCAGAGTGGCCAAACTAACTAATCCCAATACCAGAATTCCACACACCTAAGAGAGAATGAACTTCCCAGAAAATTGCTTCCTGCTGCTCCCCACTGAAATACCCCAGGTGGGTAACTTTAACAGTCAGGAGCTGCTCAGTTGCTCACCGGCAGATTCCACCACGGAGTTTACAAAGACTTAGGGCAAGAAAAGCCACACTATGTAATTTACTACATTGCAGGCACAAATGGCTTTACAGGCTTCAGATTATCACTGTTGTTGCCTCTGCCTTAGAGATGAGGGGATGTTAAGGAGTAACATCCAAGCTTCACATTTCCTGAGTAAAAAGTATAGGAGAGACTGAGTTTTCATGTTGTTATAATGGAGAGAGCTGTCTGCCATGGATTTCATGTACCGAGTCTTTCATTTATGCAAATGGAGGTATTCCCTATACCTTTTTTTTTTTTTTTAAATTGTGATTTCTGTGTAACATTTTGCAGAGTGCTGAAGTCAGTTGGAAACACAGGGTTGCAGTCTCCCAGGCAGGCATATAAAAGTAACCTCCGCCTGCCAACTTCTTTCCTATAGCCTCCTCTCCTTAAGCTACCAGGTCTCACAGAAGGTTTTGGTGCAGTTAGTTTAATGGGATGTGCAAAAATGGTGTGGGGGTGGCACCTGGCATCTAACTTCCCAAAGAGGGAGGAGGATCAAGGTCAGCTTCAACAGCCCAAGGCTGATTCCTATGAGGTGGAGGTCAGATGTGCTGCCGTCCTCCAGCCTTTTTACCAATTCTGACACAAACTGTCTTCCCCCATGGCACTTACTACTCCTCTGCTGGGTTTGATAATCCATTGCTGTGGCCGCACAAAGCTCACAAACATTATTCATGATTATAGAGTTTATTAGAGAAGTAATAGTTTACAAATTCAGGATCAGAAATAACTCGGGATACATTTCTTTGATTAGGATAGCCTCTTCTCAGCTGTGCCACGGGCACGCTTCTCTCTGACCTCAGCCTTTGGATCCTGTAGCTCCTGCCCTGCTTGAGCCAGCATTCCAAAGCTCTTTTAGCTCTGCTGATGGCTGCCCAAAGTGTCAACCCACTCCCCCAGCAAGCCTCCTGCCCGAGGACACTCCGCTTTCTTGTTGAGGGGTCGGGCAGCCCACCGTGCTGTCTCCTGCTGGTCTCCTGGTTCTCCTGCCCCCGCTGCCGTCATTTCTCTGCTGCTGCTTCTCCTTGTCTCAGCTCAGGGATCTTGGGTCCAGAGGACGCATTCCACTCCCGGCTCTTTTTTCTTGGTGGTAGTGAGAGCTCCCTTTCTGCCTGAATGGCTTATTTTAAGCCTAGCAGATGGCAAAACTGACCAGGCCCCATGTTAGAGTTCCATACATCTTAATTGCATGGTCCCACCACCACAAGGATACCATGTACCTATTTAAATCATTAGCAAACTGTCCAGTCCCCTTGGTGGGCTACAAGCCCCTCCCATTTGCATAGTCCCACCTAGTCATCTGGTGGGAGTCACAAACACCATGGTTGGAAGGGCCAGACCAAACCAGTTCACTGCACTGTGGGTTGACTGTGGGCAGAAAGCATTCTGGCCAGCTTGAAACTTGATTTGTGCCATATTTTGTATTAAAATTGGGAAATGTAATAATAATTTTTGGTTGATAGATTGCCTCTTCTAGCAACTTTGCCTAAATGTTAGGTTTCTGTGCATATATATATTCATGTCTTTTGTGATAAACAGGAATAATAACATTAAACACATCAGGTTTGTAGTGCTTCAGCTTTACTCTGTATCTTACACTTTTCTGAATGTTTCCATATGTACATTATTTGTGATTTTAAATTGCCATAGTACTGATTTTTGAAACTCAAATCCGAATTTAGTGTTGTCTTAAATTTGAAACTTAAGATTTAGGTGAAATTAGGTGAAAGATAAAGTCAGTAAGTCTTTAACTTCCTGCAAAGTAAGAACTGATTTTGGAAGATAATGTATTGGATTCTGGTCATTTCCTTAGTGCCGAATTAAACGTGTTGTATTAACTGTACGTCTTTAGCCAGAAACAATGGTTTATTAACTATACATCTTTAACCAGAAACAACGGTTTGGCAACGCAGTTCGTGCCACTTCTGTCTGTGGTGCTTTGATGTCTCCCTCTGGGCCTTTCAAGTTCCCTAAACCAGTTCTCCTGTCGAATTGGCTGTCCCTGCGTTGTTACCAGCTTCTCAGTCAGTGATCGCCTCTGCAAAAAACAAAAACCAAACTAAATGCAATGCTGCTGACTTGATTCCGACTCATGGCCACCCAAGTGTTGCAGAGTAGAATTGCTTCATAGGATTTCCTTGCCTGTCGTTTTCGTGGAAGCAGAGAGCCAGGTCTTTTGTCTGCACCTCTTCTGGATGGGCTTTAGGTCAGTTGTTGAGAATAAAATATTTGCACCATCCAGGGACCAGTCACCTCCATGGACATTGCTTAAAGCCCCTGCAAATGAGTCTGGAGTCGACTTAAAGTGACAGCGTGGCAAAAATGCTGGGTTAGGAGTGGCCTCTCTTTCTAGCATCACTGGTTTGCTGCTTCTTGTCCCAGCCAGCGCAGAGGTGCTAGTTCTAGGTTTTCCCAAGGCTGCAGATGAGAGAAGTTGGCCCGAGACAGTCCTCCTTTGTCTTGTCTTTTGGTGAGTTGTGTTCTGGATCAAAGCTCTTTCTCTTTTGTCTTTGATTTTCAGTTAGCCTCCCCCAGCTGTCTTTTGAGACACATTGGGAGGAACTCTGCCTTAGTTCAGGTAGACTGAGGTTATGATGCTTTTTGCTCAGACTGTGATAGACTAAAGGAGGGTCACTGTTAGATTCAAATATAGTAGATTGTTTTTGTACAGCACTTGAACTTTTCAGAATTGCAGCACATTATTGAAATGAGTGAAGCATTCCCTCTATCTTTAGCCCCTGGCAGCTTTCTTGTTGTCCTTTGTACAGGCATACCTTGGAAATACTGGGAGTTTGGGTCCGGATTGCTGCAATAAAGCTAGTATTGCAATAAAGCATTGTTGTTGTTGTTATGTGCTGTCGAGTCAGACCTGACTCATAGCGACCCCTCCTTGGGTTTCCGAGGTGGTATCACTACAGAAGTAGATTACCCAACCTTCCTTCCGAGGAGTGGCTGCTGGGTTTGAACTGCCAGCCTCTGGTTAGCAGTCAAGTGCCTTAGGCACTAAGCTACCAGAGCTCCATGCAATAAAGCAAGTCACATGAATTTCTTGGTTTCCCAGTGCATTTAAGTTATCTTTATGCTATATTGCAGTCTATTAAGTATACAATAGCATTATGAAAAAGTTTGAAATATCGTGAGAATGACCACAATGTGACAGAGACACGAAGTGAGCACATACTGTTGGAAAAATGGTGTACTGATGGACTTGTCTTGGAGCAGGGTTGCCACAAACCTTCAATTTGTAAAAACTACAGACCTTGTAAGTAGTATTTGTAAAAACTACTGCACTTTACAGAAGTGCAGTAAAGTGAAGTGCAATAAAACAGGGCATGCCTGTATACTTCTCAGGTTTTAAGAAGTCACTCATATGCTAGGTCTGCTAGGGAAGCGGGGGGAGTGGGACAGGATGAGTGAGAGGGTGGTCCACCCAGAGCGCAGGCAGAGGAGCCTGCAGGGAGGTGACACTTAAAGGAGCGTGTGAAGCCCAAGCCAGGGCTTAGTTTGATACCAGGAAGTGGGGAGGGGAGCCTGTGCAGTTTCTCTGGGGAGTGAATGGGTAGAGCATGTGGATGAGAAGGCACAGAAGGGGTGAAGCTTCTGAGTCGTCCGCTCTGCACTTGCCCTTGAACACATTTCCTGGTGACATCTGCCTAAGAGAGTGAGTTAATTTCCACCTTCCTGGAGAGAAAGCTAATTTCTTTAGCTCTCGTCAAATAGATAGGTATTGCATCTGATCATGCATGTGTTGCATTAATGGATTTCTCTCTCATCGGCTATACCACTGGTGCTTCTTTCATCTGTATTGATTCTTACGGGGCCAGAACCAGGTATACTGTGGTTTCCTTATTAAGCTACTTACTGTAAGTTTGAAAAGCTGTGATTAGGCCTTGAAAACTGTGTTATGATAAGGCCACGTTACATTGGTTCATCTTCTCATACATGATTTTTTTTCCCCTCTTAAGACAAACATGGTCTCTCTAGAAGGCCTTACCAAAGTAGTTGACCCTTCTCAGCTCACTCTCGAGTTTGACGGCTGCCTGGAATACAACCACGAGGAGTGGATCGAGATCAGAGTTGCTTTTGAAGACTACATCAGCAATGCTGCCCACATGCTGTCGCGGTTGGAGGAGCTGCAGGACATCCTGGCGAAGAAGGAGCTGCCTCAGGATCTGGAGGGGGCCCGCAGCATGATCGAGGAGCACTCGCAGCTGAAGAAGAAGGTGATCAAGGCCCCCATCGAGGACTTGGATTTGGAGGGACAGAAGCTGCTCCAGAGGATTCAGAGCAGTGACAGCTTTCCCAAAAAGAACTCGGGGTCTGGCAATGCAGACCTGCAGAACCTCCTGCCCAAGGTGTCCGCCATGCTGGACAGGCTGCACTCGACCCGGCAACACTTGCATCAGATGTGGCATGCGAGGAAGCTGAAGCTGGACCAGTGCTTCCAGCTGAGGCTTTTTGAACAGGATGCCGAGAAGGTAAGAGGGGCAGATGGGTGTGCGGGAGACGGGGCAGGGAGCTCCTGGGTGACTGGGGCTGGGTAGCCGGGGCTGGTTTGCTCAGGGCGAGTGCAGGAGATGGAAGGCTGGAGGCCCATGAGCCTGTACCAGCGGCACTTGTTGCAGACCAGCAAGTGTCAGTTCCAAGGTATTGTTCAAATCTGTTGCACAGTTTTATTCATTGGGCTCCCTTCTGGTTGCCTCCCGTCGATTCTGTCTCATGACGGCCACAGGTGTGTCAGAGTATAGCTGGACTCCTTGGGTCTTCAGTGGCTGATATTTCAGAAGAGGGCCACCAGGCAGGCCTTTCTTCTGGGCCACCTGGGTGGACTCAGACCACTGACCTTTGGAACAGCCAGTACATTAACCATTTGTAGCACCCAGGAACTCCTAGTCATTGTGTTGTTTTAGAAATAGTGAGTTGTTAATTACTGATAGTTTGGTTTAGAGTTCCTCTAAGGGAGAAGAGAAATATTTTCAGTGAAAAGAGTGAAAATAGTATTATGTTACTCAGAGCCAGTAATTGTGCAGGTGTTTTGCTGTTACCTGCTCTGCCACTCATACAGAGCTGGTGACAGAGCACCACTCATTGAGATCTGTTCTTCAAAACTGAAAAACCAAACTCACTGCTGTCAGGTCAGTCTCAACTCACAGCGACCCCGCCTTGGGTTTACGAGGCGGTATCACTACAGAAGTGGATTGCTCAACCTTCCTTCCAAGGAGTGGCTGCTGGATTTGAACAGCGAACCTTCTGGTCAAATGCTTTAGGCACTACGCCGTCAGAGCTCCCAAAAATAGAAGCTGGGCAGTGAGTTAAAAACAATAGTTTCTGGATCCTCTAGGCAAGTATTACCTGTGATCTCATGCTTTGTGCTTGTATTGCAGAGAAACTACTGGTCACAGTGAGTTCTTTTCCTTCATTGGCCGGTTCCCTCTCAGCACTGTGAAAGTGGGACACTTATTTGTAGGAATCTGTGGCAAGCCATGAGCACGTGTGAATTCATCTCTCTTGGTTTCAGTTTGTCGAATTTTTTTTTTCATGGACAGACCTTTTTTTTTTTATTTTAGACTATTTTTAGGTTGTAAGAAAAAAAAAAGTCTACCTTAAAAATCTTTGCTTTGAAAAAAAAAAAAAGAAGGTGGGGACCAGGTTTGCTGGTCCAATGGAGCCTGGTGTAACCACTGAGACTATGGCCCCTAGTTGCCCTTCAGGTCTGGAATTGAACCCACAACTGTGGTTTCCAGCCAAACAAAGTACAGGCATGTGAGTTAAACATTTACCTCAAGTAGACACACGCCCTGGAGAGAACAATCAAGGGAGAAGGAAGGGCTGCTTATGCACAGGGAGATAGCTCAGGGTACAGAAGAGTATGAAGGGATGGACACTGGGAGGAGGTAACTATGGGGAGGAAGTGGGAGGGGAGCTGCTGCATTGTAAATTTTGGTCAATGACATGAGACAAGGTATGTGTGAACTGCTGTATGAAAAGTGAATTTACTCTGTAAATCTTCACCCAAATCCTAATAATAAAAAAAAAAAAAAAATCTTTGCTTTGAAAGTACCTTTCGAAGAGGGCAGCCCGCTGCTATCATTTCCTAAGCCTCTAACGCCAATTTCCCGTTGCTGCTGTTGTAGGAAGTGGCTCGTTAAAGACTCTAGAAATGCTCCCACCCAATTCCTGGACAACCAGGTGACTAGCTCTGGGATTCTGGTTCAGGTCACGGATTGATTCCGAGTTTTTCGATTTCCTTAAATGCTTTCCTTGAGAACATCTTAATTGGCATTCTATTCCAAGTAGCATCTCTATTGAACCTTAAGAGAGATGTCATCGTTTTCTCACCCCCCCAAGCTGTTAATTTTCAGTCATTTTTGTTTGCATTTGCACTGACTTCTCTATGCTTCTTGCACAAAAGAGCATGATATTGAAGTCATTGGGATTGCTGTCAGTGGGCACTGACGGCCCTGCCTGAAACCTGAGCGTTCCTAGTTGCTTAGAGCCTTTAATTGAGCATGGTGACAAGCAGTTGAGGATGGCAGAGGGATGGGGCTGCCAGTCAGAAGGAAGGAGCTTTTACTTAGCTCTGGGGATCTGAATACCTCTCTTTACTTATCTGCTCCCTAATTCCTTGTCTGTAAAATGAACACTTAAGATAACGTTTTCTTGCAGATCCAGCCAGTTCAGAATTGACAGAAAGGTTCTTCTGAGTCCAAATACCTGAGTGGTGTTGGCACAGGGGTGCTGGTCTTCCTTGGAGACTGCCCGCTGGTAGGCTATGCCTGTCTGTTCTCTCTGGAGTGACTCTACCTTGTCCTTTTCCTTCCTGCAGATGTTTGACTGGATCACACACAACAAAGGCTTGTTTCTGAACAGCTACACCGAGATCGGGACCAGCCATCCCCATGCAATGGAGCTGCAGACCCAGCACAATCACTTTGCTATGAACTGTATGGTAAGGTGTTGTCAGCACAGTGGCACCCTGTCCGGTAAAAGTGCTTCAGCATACAGGAGGTGGCTGAGTGGGTCACAGTCCACCCCTGGCAGCGTGGGCCCTTCAGAACCACTGCTCTGACTGTTACAACTGACCTTCAAGGTTGGGAAGTGCCCTGGTTTAGCACTGTCTAAGGATCTTGTTTTAAGTTTCAAGCAAGCAAAAATGAAAACAGATACTCTTGCACCAATTACTTAGTTAGTTCGATATGGACTTTGCCTCATTGGAGTTTTCAGTGGCCCCAGACAGGTTCTCTGAGGCAGCAGATTTACTGAAGAGACCCCAGGGTGTTTTGCTGCCTGTTGTTTCACTGTGATGAGATGGGCCCACCTGCTACTCACCTCATGGATGCCCTCCAGTTCTTCTCCTAAAGCAAAGTTTCTTTCAAGTTGTATTGAAGGGCTAGTGCCAGGCATCGCTCTTCCCTGGAACCCGCTGGCTCTGTTTGAGGTTAATGCATTTGATGGCCTTGGTCTGTTGTGATCCCTTCAGAATCCTATGGACCAGCTGGTGTTATTCTAGTGTACTTTGCAACAAAAAGTCGCTCTATTTCACATAGCACTTTTGTTATGTTGTTAATACATATGTTGTGGTGTTAATGTCATGCATGCGTGTCACTGAAGGTCACTTCCCACCTGACCGTGGGCTTGACCGTCTGCAATGGCCCCACAGAGTACCCTTTCTTCCTGCCATGGTGGATGCGCAGACATTGTGATCTGACTTCCAGTGTCCAGATGCAGCCAGGAAAGTAACTCTGAGGCTGGTCTCCTCTGGTTCTCTAATCCCACATCGAGTGACTCCACCTTGTTTTAGTTTGGGTCAAATGAAGGAGTAAGTAAAAGACGGTGCCAAGGAGGAATGGAAGCTGAGTGAAAGAATGAGGGAATTCTGTAGATGCTTAGTTGGGAAGCTGATGCTAACGAAGCAGTGATGTGGCCATGGCAGGACTCTGTGTGAGAGCCTGCGAAGCTTGGCACCGAGGTCATGGTAGAAGGGAGGGAAGGGAGGGTGGTGGTTGGAGAGATGGGTCATGAGGCCTCAAAGCAAGAGCAGAAAACCTAACCCATTGCCATCGAGTTGATTCCGACTCATAGCGATCCCTGTTGGGTTTCTGTGGCAGTAAATCTTTATGGAAGTAGATTGCCTCGTTATCCTTCTGTGGAGTGGCTGGTGGGTTTGAACCACCAGCCTTTGGGTTAGCAGTCAAATGCCTTAGGTACTGTGCCACCAGAGTTCCTGAAGGCAAGATTGGGAGGAGCCAAAAGGCTCTGATTTTGGGGAACCCATGAGAGAATGACATGGTGATGGCATCACAAATAATGAATGCCTGAGATGTGTTGAAGTTGTGTACCCCTGCCCCATCTTTAATATCATTTTGTTGTTGCTATTGACTGTCGCTATCATGTTGGCCCCCGGCTTGTGGTGACCCCATGCACAATGGGATCAGATGGTTGTGATCCAAAGGTTTTTCATTGGCTGGTTTTCAGAGGTAGATAGCAGACCATTCTTCCTAGTCTGTCTTAGTCTAGAAGCTCCACTGAAACCTGTTCAGCATCATAGCATAAGCCTCTACTCACAGACGGGTGGTGAGTATACTTGAGAGGCACTGGCTGGCTGGAAAGTGAACCTGGGGCTCTTGTGTGGAAAGGGAACATTCTACCACTGAGCTACACTGCTTTCATTTTAAGGTAGTACTGACGCTTATAAGAGCAGGACTGAAGGTGGGTAGAGGAAATACCATTGAGAACTTGATTTGCAAAGAGAGGTTTTTGTTCTTTGTTTGCGTGTTTTTTTTCCCTTTCATTTTAATTTTTTCCAGCGAAGTCTGGTTGACGTGAAGTTAGAAATTTCAACAGAGTACAAAAGCTTTATTTAAAATTTGGCAACAGCACTGTTGGGCCTCTGCCTCTATTTATATTTCTGGAAGAAAATGGATCCATTTACAAAAGATTTCCTCTTGACACCAGAAACGGAAAAAAAGGCTTGGGTTTAGGTGGAGTGTGGAGATGGTTTTCAGACAAGTAGCCTCTGCTACGTGGTTTGGTTTCTGGAGTGTAGTTGAGAACGGAAGTGCTGCTGCCTTCGGTTCTGGGTGACTGCTTGTTAGTAGGCTGGCCGTCCGGACTCTTCTCGGAGTGTGAAGCCAGAATGTGAGTCATGTACACGTGTGTGCACCCGCTTGTGCGTTTGAGTGCTTAACAGTTTTACCTTTCTGCGAGTGGATCTGTAGTTTCACAGCTTTAAACCTAGGAATTGCAGCCAATCCTTAGTGTGTGTGGAAATCCAGTGGGGAGACCAGGTGGGTCTCCTGTCCCAGCTGTGGCAGCTTTCATCCCAACGTGTGCTGTGGAGAGTGTGCTTTGGACTGTTGGCTTTCCCGAATGAGCCTTCTCTCTGTGCCCCTGCAGAACGTCTATGTAAACATAAACCGCATCATGTCGGTGGCCAATCGCCTGGTGGAGTCTGGCCACTATGCCTCGCAGCAGATCAAGCAGATCGCAAACCAGCTGGAGCAGGAGTGGAAGGCATTTGCGGCAGCCCTGGACGAGCGGAGCACCTTGCTGGACATGTCCTCCATCTTCCACCAGAAGGCTGAGAAGGTCAGTGCTGGGACACGTAGGCCCATGAGACGTGAACCAGAGTGTCGCCTCCTCCAGTAGTCCCGGAGGATTTTTGTGTTGCACTTAACTGGGCTTAAGAATGTGGGCTTTGAAATCACTTAGCTGCCCCTTCAATTATCAGCTCTCACACTCCTTGCTGTGCAGCCTCAGGCAAGTTATATAGTCTCTGCTCCTTAGTTTTCCCTTTCGTAAAGTGGAAATAAAAGTATTTACTTGAAGGGGTTGTTTTATCATGTAAATGAGATAATTCATATTATCTGCACTGCCCAGTGCCTAGGATATGTTGCGTTGTTGTTAGGTACCATCGAGTTGGCTCCGACTAACAGTGACCCTAAGTACAACGGAATGAAACACTGCCTGGTCATGCACCAGCCTCACGATCCTTGCTAGTATCTACCAGTAAGTGGTAACTCAGTGTGTGTATCTCCCAAGCTGACAGCTGGGAGCTGGAATCCTTGCAGCAGAGGGGCTACTTCAGTCAGTTAGACCACTGACCACTGTGGGTAACACATTTGAGCCGTATGCCCCCTTATCAGATTTAAATTCTTAATGAAAACTCTGGATCTAAGAATCCCTGTCTGGTGCAGTGGGTTAAGTGCTTGACTGTTAGCTGACAGGTTGATGGTTCAAAGCCATGCAGAGGTGCCTCAGAAGACAGGCCTGGCCATGTGCTTCTGAAAGGGCAAGACTTGAAAACCCCATGCAGCAGTTTTCCTCTGCACATGTGGGGTTGCCGTGAGTTGGAACCCCCTTGACAGCAGCCGACACCACCACCTCATTGTAGCTGCTCTTCTTTTCTCCTCTGTCCTCCTCTTCCTCCTTCCCCTCCTCATCGTCCTCCTCATTTTTCTCTCTTTAGCAGGCTGGTTTCGATGTTTTGGCAGCAGGTAACTGAAAACCTGAGTGTAAGTGATTTAAACAACGGAGGTTACTTTTTTTTTTTTTTTTTAACAAGACGTTGCTCGGAATAGTCAGGTCTAGGCTTGATCCAGTCCAGCAACATCAGGGCTACGTGTGCTTCTCCCAGGCTTGCTTGGCCTTCCCTGGTGGTCCCCAGGTGATGCCCCAGCTCTGAGCACCAGCTCCTCAGTAGCCAAGTGCAGCAGCAGCAAGGATGGGAAGACGTCCTTACCTCCTGATGATCAGCAAAGCATTCTTTCTAGAAAGCCTGCCACCCCTAGCACACACTCTCTGCCCACCCCCTGTCCCAGCTCCCATTGGTAGGACTGGGGTGCACACCCACATCCTGTTTACAAGAGCAGGTGGAAAGGGCAGATCCAGCTTTTTGCCTCCATTGTGGGAGGCTGGCTCTGCTGGCCAGGGAAAGGGTGGAAAAATGGCTAGGTGGTAGGTGGTTTACAGTGCCTTCCACAATTATTCAGGTATTTTTATAGACTCGGACTTCATTAGCTGCAGTGCTATTCAAAATGCCTCGTTTAAGAGGTCACAGTAATGTTTGGCCATGACTGCTTTCTACACCTCTACCTGTGTCTCCTCAAGCAAACTTGCATCTGCAAACACACTCTGCAAATAGCAAAAGCCAAGTGATATGTTTGTGGCATAAACTTCATTAGTGGACGGTGTGCTGGGCAGGGAAGTACCTTTCCAAGAGGTGGAGAAAGTGTGGGAACTTTTCGCCACTAGAACACGTGGGAGGAAGCAAATGGTGGCTTAATTGAAAAGGAAAATACTGGTGTAGCTTTCTCAGGGATAATTTTGGGAGACGAACTGTCCGTGGCCATTTGTGCTGCCACTTCCCAGAAGGAAACAGCATCTCTTTGATCTGGAGACGCCTCTGCTGAGGAGGGAAGAAGCCAGGAGAGGTGCGAGAGCCCCAGCTGGCCGCATTTCAGTGAGGCCGTCCGAGTGTTGCACTGTTAACTAGCAGTGATCTCAACTCTGGAAACCTTTCAAGTGTGAAACAGGAGAGGACGCTGAGCAGAGTGTGTGGAGCAAACCACCTTCATAGCATCGTGTGAAAGAGGGAGTGGGGACTCGTTGGCTTCAATAGTAAGGATTTTTTTCCTTGCTCCCTGTTCTGGTGACCTAGTGCCACTCTGACAGAATATACCATAAATGGATGGCCTTAACAAGCAGGAATTTATTCTTATAATTAGGAGGCTTTAAGTCCAAGGCTGGCGGTTCAAACCCACCAGCCACTCCTCAGAAGGAAGATGGGACAATCTACTTCCGTAGTGATACTGCCTCGGAAACCCAAG